TAAATATACGTTGCCGTGTGAAGGTAACCCCGATCAAGTCGTTGCAGTTACGTTCTCGTTCGTTTTAGTCTCAGTTTGAGTCGTTAAATATACGTTGTAAGTGTGGGATTACTGGTACGCTCAAGTCGGTTAATATACGTTAGAGCTTGAATATAACATCAGTCAAGTCACGGAAAGTACGTTGTAATATGTTACACATGTTGTTCAAGTCGTTGAATTTACGTTGCAATTTGAAATGTACGCTGACAGGTCGAGTACGTCAAACACGTTTTCCCCTGTACATGTCCCAAATATCCCCATACTCGCACGTTTTTTTTTTCTTCTTACTTCGAACTTGCATTTATGTAGTGACCTTGTACTTGCTTGTAATGTGTTTTCAATTAAGCAATATTTATTTCAATGTTTAACACGTGTTTATTGAGACTGTACAAAGGGCAAAACATTGTTACTTAACGACAGTAAAAAATGTGTATTCAGGGATCTGCCCACGCTGGTCAGCGCCGGTCGCTAGCGACCGGCACTCAGAATTTCCGACCAGGACAGAAAGTTGGCGACCAGCACTATTCTATTTGTTTATGATACACACAGGATGTCGGCCACTGGACCATCATTCTATTGTCCTTGTTGGTTTTAACACACAACACAATGCAAAAAATTAACACACAACAAAACTTGAAAGAAGATATCGCTGTTCAAAATCAACGTACACATGTGACATCAGCCTAATGTGTTTTTGTTTTAACCTCCGATTGACATTCTGTTAGTTTTAACAAACAAACCAGATCGGAATAAGTCGTAAATCAAGATAATGGAAGGAGAGACAATGATAAATAAACAGAAGGAAGGATTACCATTGCAAGTTCAGTTGTGTGTAGGATTTGCCGAGTTGAACAATAACTTGCTCACTTCACCGGCAGCAATGCATGTTCATTTAATCTGCACTTGCACTCGAGTGTAGTAACTGTCATTGATGTTTTTGGCTTCATGACTCGTTCATAAAATTAAATTCATAAGCTATATTCAGTAAGCGATACAAGGAATACTAATTTCTCACTATTAATGTGATTTACCAGCATTCCATCAGAAAAGAAAACAATTAAATTCTTGTTGCCACTTTTGCCGTAACAAACGGAAGACACGCTTTGAAAAAATAATGGCTGCCAGGTCAGAGGTCAATGTCTCAAAATACGTATTTTAGACGTGATTTCAAAAATAAAGTGTATATATTTTTTCACTTTTATTAAACCAGATTAATTTTACACGGAAATATTTAAAATAAATAAAAGTTAAAATAATTAAAGTAGTTAAATTGGAGCTAGTAGAATGAAAAATGAATATTAATGATCTCATGAATATTAATTAGCGACCAGCACTCAAATCAAGCTGGGCAGAACCCTGGTATTGAAATAAAACAGTGATTTTTTTTATACGAGAAATTGTTTTCCATGGTGGTAATGAAGTGTGTATGCTAACAGATTGCAAAAAATATGAAAACTGAGGTCGATACAGTCTGTTAACTATGGCCTATTTTTGCAAAAATGTCTGGCAGGATGCACAGATGCTAGCTACTAGAGTGCATTGAATCATGACCGTTTTTCACAGACTTAACCTGATAGCATGAAACTCCCCTGACCGGAAAAGGGTTAAATGAAATATCGCCAAACAACCACACAAAGTTGTCAATGGAATAATAAACACATGTATGCCTAACACCAAAGCATTGGAAATAGTGGCTAACGGTAGTTGAACTTCCATTTTTAACCAAAAATGACAAAAATATTTGCCAAAACAAGTCATTGTCAATGACACATCCCCGTTCCGTTCATATTTGAGTGACATATACATTCAAAGCAGATCATGACCGAAATGCACCTGCATATGTACAACACCTTGTGCTAAATCTGAACAAAATCCATCCATGCATGACTGAGATCCGGTTCTGGAATTGTGAAAATACGTGATTTTGAAGCATTTTTGGCCTTAAAATGGCCATCATTCCGCTATTGTTAAGCAGATCATGAAACAAATGCACATATCTATTTGTGACATGATGTACCATGTGTGTGTGAAGTTTGAACTTGATCAATCCAGACATGTCTTGGATAGGGATCCAGAACTGAATTCTTTAACAAAATGGCCGCCAGTCGGCCATTTCGAACTTGATCCGAAAAAAAAAGACGTGCATCAAGGTCCTATTATGTTTAATGTATGTACCAAATTTGAACAAAATCCATCCAGTGTTTGCTGCCCTCTTGAATAAGTTATCGTGATGTCACGAGGCGACATAGTTTTCCCATTTCACACGGTTCTCGTCGTGTAATCGACCAATTTCGGACCATCACTCTCAAAATAATTGATGAAATATTTTAGGGACCCATCAACAGTAGAAAGGTAGAAAATAATGAAAAAAAAAATTTTCAGTTCGGTAAAATAGGGTAACTCGCATAGGATGGAACTGTAAGCTCCATGGTTTCGTGTAAAACCACGACAAACGAATCACGGACAGCGAAACCAAGCGAGCTACAGAACTGCAGCTAGGTTCCACCACGGTTTCGTTCAACATAATGGCAACAGCAGACTGCAACCTCTGCGGTCGATCCACACAACCACAACTTTCGGAAAAGACTTCTGCCAGTCACTAAATTCCACGCAAACACGATTTCGAGTTCCACAACATCCATAACCACTTTAGTTCAGTCTTTGGAAGGAATTCAGTCGATTTAACAGGAGAATCGACCTGCCCACACAGACGGAAACAATTCGACTGACTGGCACAGGGACGCACAGACTTAATCATAAACAAAGTTATTCCAACACCATACTATAGATGGCACTCTCACTATAGATCGCCACAGTAGAGTTTTGGGGGGCTAATTTGCATAATTGTTGGCAGATCGACTTCTCATTAACAAATTACCATCTACACTCATCAAGGCCTCCACGCACCAAAAATAGAGTCAAATGGTTCGGTGGTTTTTGAGAAGAAGTTGTGCACAGACAGACAGACAGACAGACAGACAGACAGACAGACAGACAGACGACAAAAGCACGACAGAAGCAGGACAGAAACCCAACCCATAGGCTCAGCGGACCTTTGAGCCAAAAATGGGTAATAGACAATATTCACTACAATTACAAGATACTCTTGATATTCCTAAAGCAAGTGACATCACTGTGAAACAGTGAGCCAATGATGCAGAGTATATTCAGAGCAGTGTTCATGTGCTAGTCAGCTATATTGAACGTAGAATTCCCGTTCAAGTCATCGGTATCTTGGCCCAGTTCAGTATCTTCGATTCAGACTTGTTATTCGGCAACCCACAATCCACATACGACAATGACTCCGTGAAATCGTGAGCACTCCATTTTTTACAGAAAGCTGATCAACCCGATGTTACAGCAGAGGTCATCAATGAATGGAGTAATTTTAAGAGCTACGCTTGTGAATGCATCTTGAAAGACGACGATTTGAAATCCGATGCCGTTGTTGATATTCTCTGCAAAACTGCCTTCGTTCAGCAAGTATTCCCGAATATCGCAAAGCTGACGAAAATATACCGTGTATTACCATGTCACACTGCAGATTCAGAAAGGACTTTTTCCCAACTCAAACTCGTGAAAACAGTCAATTTGACTAAGTTAATATTTGTCTTCACTACAATGAATCCAGTCGTGCATTTTTCGAATTCCACTTCAGGTGTGAGTAAACAACAAACCTAGTATGTAATGTCTGATTTTTCATAGTGCTACGTTCTCCCCAACTATAAAGTGGGTCAAACAAGTTGATTAGAAGACCCTGAAAAATAGTAATAACATTCTTACGCTGAGACGATGACCAACAGAATCTATACGACTGGCATCTTGACCATTCTTCAATCCTTTCATCTGTTTAGCTTGTCTCTCATAGACCTCCTTCTCAGCATCAGGCAACTCCTGTCAAGTGGAAACAACCATGAAAATAATTATAGAAATCACTAACTATAATCATTTGACTTTAATCATTTGACTTTAATAGCACTCTCGCTCAATTAAGAATCTCCTAATGGAGAGGGTATATTTTCAGTTTCTTTCAAAATGCCCAAAATTTGATGCTCAATTATTAAAACCTGGTCATTGTACACACTAAAATCTTACTGAACTATGCTTTGACAATATCCTGTTTACCACAGGTGTTTGTACAGGGCTCTCCACAAATTCTTGGAAGGGCATCAATTTGCATATAATTAGCATATCTAATTTGCATACCAATGTCAAACAATCAGAAATAAAAATGTAAAAAAAAATCTAGCTACTTACTTGAATAACATAAAATACACTGTACAAGTATTACTTATTGATGTTTTTTAACTATTATCACAAATAAATTAAACTGGAGAAAAATACAACTTTGTGAGTCGGATATCAATGTTTACCACGTGTGGAGACTCAACTTCCGGTTTTGACTCGGGAGACGGGAAACAACAGAAAGAAGTGGAATACAGAAACATAAATCACGCTGGCCAAGCGTCATTTATTCATAAATTAACTGAAAATGTGTAAAGCCAAGCACTCGACTGCTGCTGTCAACGTTTTACCTTCCACATCGGGTGACAGATTGGCACTGCGTCTTTCATTCCGTTCGGAAACTGGCATCCCTGTCGTTTTAGCTCCGGCATCATTGCTTGCATGTACATATAAAAACCATTGTATATTTTCTTGTTTTTCTTCGGGGGCATCTTGAATTCTCAGCGAAAAAATTGCAGCAAACCAGAACTCAAAATAACAACTTCGGATAATGTGTAAATCACGTGACATTCTCGCGTGATCGGTCACAACTATTATCAGCAGGGGTGTTCAATGTCAAGGGCAAGTCTTCTATTGTTTCTACCATATTGCGGAAATAAACTAGTACCGCTACAACATACTTTGTTCAGATATTTGAAATGGTCTAAACATTGATCTCGTTTTTGCTAGTTCCACGACGCTTATAAAAAGAGCATAAGGGAAAGAGCGCCCTCAGAGCATAATACGGAAATTTAATTATTGGACAAAAGAATTAACGTTCATGATACTGCGACCATATCTGGATAACAGAAGGGACCTACGTCAATGAGGAACCTGTTAATCCTGGAGATTGCACCAGGAAATCATTGGACACCATTGCCTATGTTGTTTCTCAGACTACCACTAGTTGTCTAAGGTTGTTTGCACTGTTAACCCATCGTCCGCCTGCACGGTGCTGTTCCGCTCGGACATTCACTCTCCACAACAGTGGAGTGCTTTGCCGGAACATTCACCTTGAAAATTCAAGATGTGTTAACCGGTCTAAAAACTATTTTGCACTTTATGAGTTACGCATTTGAAAATTTGAAAGGCTTTATGAATACGATAGCGGAGGAATAAAATAAAATAAAAATGGGTACATTTAAAATATGATTATTGTTTAGGCTTCATTTTTTATATTATTTGTTTATATTGTTTATTAAATATGTATTTAATTATGTATTTTTCATATACTTTATTTTCCTTTTATTTTTTAGTTTATTATTTATAAGTTTTGGCAATCGCAAACAAAAATAATAATAAACTACAAAATAATAAACAAATATTAGCAATAATAAAATAAAATATCTACAACTAAGAAAATGTGATATACGCCACACAATAAATCAGATTTTAATCAGATTGGTGAAAGAAACAGTGCCCCATCATGTAATAAAAAAGAATGGTACCAGTCAAACAAAATATTCACGTAGACGCGAAAATAAAACTGTGTAAATATTTTCCAGGTTTTTCATGTTTTGGAAGGCATAGAGATTAGAATGCAGGCAGTAGAAGCAATTGTCATATGACCATATATTCTGCTGTCGCGTATGAACGGTCCAGTGGCGATCTAGCATTGAGCTACATGGTTAGATTAACTCGGATCCGTGCGTAATTAGACATTCTTCAGACTGGGACTAAACTGCGAGATGACATGAACATGTTCTTCCCATTTTATAATTGATTTTCACATTTTCAGTAGAGCACTAATGAATCTCGAGTATTAACAAATAGCCGGCATGTTATCTCTGACATACAGACTAGAGAACAAGAGTGAGAGAGTACTTCAAGTTGCAATACTAGTACTGTGCATGGAGATATCATAGACCAGACCTCACACCTTCCAGTACGTATACAGCTACAATAAGTTCTCATTGCTGAAGTTGAAGCATACAGGTAGGTGCTGTG